TTTATATACTTTATTAAATTTAGGTTTTTATATATAAACTTTTGTTATTTTCATTTTTTTTATATATACTTTATTTGTTTTCATTTTTTGTTTTCTCTAATACATTCATACAATTTACACTTTTAGTATTTTTGTAGTTTCCTTTTCATATGTGTTTTTGTATTATATTTTAATTTTTTTTCATTTTTTGTGTGTTTGTTTTCATTTTTTCATATTTTCAACTTTTTCTTATCTTTTTCAAAAAATGTAAACTGAATTGATATATTAAAGTATACCACAATTTTATTAATTTATAGTTTATGTAATTTTTTATTTTTATTCAAGTAAATAAAACGGTTATATTTATATTTGTAATTTTGGAACAACTTATTATTTTTTTTTTCTTTTGTGCTATTATATTTATCTTACGAAAAAAAAAATTTAAAAAAAAAAAAAACAAATTGTTTATTGAGCATTAATGTATCAATGTGTGATATAACTTGCAAATTAAAGCATATTTCTGTATATGATATCAATAGTTTAAATTTAAGATAATATTTTTCAATTGGATAATAGAATAAATCGAATCAAAGTAAAAAAAATAAAAAATAAAAAAATAGAAAAATCGTAAATAACTAAAATTGAAAAATAAAAAAAAAGGAAAAAAGAAAAAAAATCAAATTGGTGAAAACTAAATAAAGTGTATATATATATATATATATATATATATATATATATATATATATATATATATATATATACAAACGAAAATAAATGAAGTTTATAAAAAGCAAAAAATAAAGTTAATAAACCATGTGGCATAATATTTTACAAACTACAGGGACCAAATTTAAACTTTAAACCTAATTTTAAGGTAGATTTTGCAAAAAAAAAATAAATAAATAACAGAGTTAACTATGAAATTTGTTAAATGGGCTAGAGTGATAATTCTACGAGAAAGTTGCGGTCATAGCAATAATAAAAAAAATGTTATGGTTTTTTCAATTACACATTATAAATTGAAGAATTTTATGATATTAGTCCTAGAAAAATGGAATAATAACATACGTACTACGATATGGATTCATCCTCACACAAATAATCAAATACACATACATGCATTTATCCATCCACATATGAGAAATACAACTAGAGATAGGTATGGTGTGGTTTTTGCCTAAACCGAAACGCAAACCGTAAATGCAGTTTTTATAATTATCTAAACCGAACGATGTGCTTTTTAAGTGGTGAAGATTTTATGGTTTTTTATGAGTTTCGGTTTTTTTTGTTTTAAAACTGCATAATCTCTTGATGGTTTTTATGGAATGACTTTAAAACATGTAACTTTGTTAAAAGGATAAATGCCAACAATGTAACTTTGGTAAAAGGATACGACGTGGTCTTGGAGACGAGAAAATGAGTTACCTAAAAGGATAAATGCCAACAATGTACTTTAATGGTTCATGGAGTTGTAACATAAAACCAAGAACGCGGCTGAAAGTAGGATGCTAAGTTATTTTGTGAGGGATAATAAAAAACGTTAGCAAATAAGTGTCACGAATGTTCACCATGACACGGAGAATGGTTTATTGCAGTGTGGTAATCATAGAATATAAACTTAATAAATCATTAAGTCAGTAAAAAGTAAAGGGGATTCTCTCTAAACATATATTGGATGTGCGATTCACACACATAACGAAAGGGAAGTGCTAAAATCAAAGGGTTAACTCAGATTAACCTTGTAATCCATTAAATTAAGGTAATCTAGCATTGATTCTTTCAATTATGTTAGAATCCAAAAATTAGTTTTAGGATTATGCTATCACTGACATGTTTAATCTTATAAGTTAATTTCTAAATTCTATGTGGCTATATTGATAAATTTAATAAGTCTTGATGAAACCTAAAGCACTATGATTAATGAAATTTTGATTCTTGAATTCATGTGTTTAGAAATTATAATTAAGTTATAGTAAAATCGATTATGAACGATATAATGGAATGTAAGTGAGTTTTATGTTGATAATTATTCATTGTATATAATGAATCATACAATATATAAGTTGGGTGGAGTATTTATATGTTGATAATTATTCATTGTATATAATGAATCATACAATATATAAGTTGGGTGGAGTATTTATGGCGTAAGTACAGAACTCACACTACAAAAAATATGTCATTTAGTGGTATATAAAAAGTGCCACTAAAAAAACCAAAAAAATGTCACTAAAGATATCTTAAAGAATCAGTGGCATACAAAATAAGCGGCATACAAAATAAGTGTCATTAGAAGCCCTCCCATTAAAACCTTTTAGTGATACTTTTTGTTTTTGTAGCTACAGTCTTTTATACTTTTAGTGGCACTTTTTATTTGTCACTATAGAAGAAAAGTTTTTTTATGTCACATACTTTGTGCCATAAAATACTCATTTGTTTCAAAAAATTTATGCTATTTTTAGTTACATATTTTAAGATTTTAGTGAGATTTTTTTTTTTGCTACAATACAAAAAAAGGCACATTTTACGTCAGTAAATACTAATGATAGTCTATAATTTAAACTACTAATATCTACATAGTTTTTATCTAAAGTATAAAATAAAATAAATAATAAATTGTAACACGTATAAAATAATAAATATTCCCCAATACTAACAACTTAATGTAAAAAAAAAACAAAACAAAACAAAACAAAAGCAAAAAACAAAAAACAAAGAATTCAAGGTTTAGAAAATTCGTTCATATATTTGACCACAGTTTTCAGAAGTACAATCTTCAGGGCGTATAGAATAGGTAAACCTGAAATGATAAACCAAAATGATTTCATAACACACTAAATCACATAGGAAGATGTATTTGTAGGGTTTCAAAACACTTCATGATCTCTCCTATCTAAAATAGAAATTTATCCAATCCTCCTCCTCCCCCAACCCCATCCCTTCCCCCCAAACACGACCAATACACCAAATAGATATTCACATGAAAATGTTAACATATTTGAAGTATTAGTAAAGTGCATTATATTGGACATAAACGTTCAAATCAAAATGTAACAAAACAAGCGTTCATATGTTCTAGAAGAAATTAAAGTTCATTTAAAATTATGCTAATCATAATACCATTATATTTAATAGAAAACTAAAGTTTAAAATTTCCCATCCTTGAAGTTCTAAATCCTTTCTCCTCTTATATCCCATCCCCTTTTTATCAAAGCTTGTATTTCTTCATTAGACTTTTGTGCAAACTTTTGAGTTTGTAAAATGACTTTTGACCAATATGTTTGTGTCGTTCAAAAGTATCTTTGTCAAATACATAATACACTAATTATTTAACACATTTTGTTGTTTTTTTATTCTTTTGGCAACCCACAATCCCAATTTACTCTTTTATCTCCCATATACGTCTCCATATAACGCATGCAAAAAAATTCCACAATCAACATGATTATGCTTTGTGCGCCATTTCATTATCACCCTTTCTTGTTCAACACCATCCAAAATTAAAGCTTATTTGTGGTTGACACTCATCAAGTACCTACTAAAAACTAGTTTCTGCAAAAAACGAAATTGTTATTTATTGTAATAATTATTTAATTAAAATTTAAATGTAAATTTTCTATTCTTACCAATTATTCAGGTGCATCACGATAAGTTCTTTTAAGGATTGCAACTGAATTCTTGTTGTTAATAACATCAACCGTTGGTTCCTCTAAGTTTGTGCATATCAGGTAAAAGTGATTTCTTTGATGAACTAGGAAAAACAGATATTTTAGAATTTTAAATTGTTAATCTTTCTTGAAAATATGTAATATATTCAATATCATTTTTTTAATGAAAAAGAATAAAATTTTATTACCAATTGAACTTTTTTGAATGTCAGAAGTTTTTTTTTTTTTGGTTTTTTTTCATTGCATGTTTGATATTTAATTCAAATTTCTCATATCTTTCAATGAAAGGATTTTTTTTCATATATGAAACGTCTCTGCAAAAACATATATATATATATATATATATATATATATATATATATATATATATAATATATATATATATATATATATATCAAATTCTAAGAATTGTTAAATACATAAGAAGGTACAATTTAATTTGATAATTATTCACATAATGAATCATAATAAGATTCGTTGTGTGGATTTTATAATTTATTCTGAATTGTTATAACTTACCACCATTGATGTATTAAATAAACACCGCTTCACTGTAGATTCTAAATTATTCTTTTCTTCAAAGTTCAAAACATCAGTCCAAGCAACAATGACATGTCCATGTACCCATACTCCTACTTGCATTGTTTCAATCATTCCTCTTCCAAGCACATATCCTCTCTTAATTTAAAATACCTTATCGCTTAATTTGTAATCAAATAAAACGAAAAACAATTAATAGAAAATTAACGTATATTTGTATTTATATTATTGTATTTATAGAAAAAATAATGTAAATTATTATCTGCTATTACTAATCCTAGAAAAAATTCTATCTAATACTCTGAAATCATCTCTTTCTACAAACAGTCTTGCACAAACCTCGTTTAGATTAAAAGGAGAGCATACATACATTGATGTATTTTTAAGTGCTTTCCATCATTTACCTCTTGACCATCTTTAATTCCCAAGATATTAATATCACCTTCTGTTGCTTCTGAATCATAACTTGGTTCATCTCCTTCCTGAAACTCTTGTGTTACACCAAGACCAAGTCCAAATGAAAAACTAGGCATTGATGATTTTTTTTGTTTTCTTTATGATCTATTATTGTTTTCTTAATTTCTTGTTTTGTAAATCTTTGTACATAAAAAAATCATCATCATCATCAAAATTTAAAATACATTGAACAGAATCAGCAATCTCATGAACTTTTGGATCATTGTATAAATTTCCTAGTTTTACCATTAATATGAGTCGTTGATTCTTTATTTTGTTTTCTGGTGTATTTTGTCCATCAGAATCTTAATTTATATCACCCTCATTCCCATCCACTTCATTCACATCTTCAGTTTTTTAAGCTTCATTCCCATCGACCTTATTCCCATCTTGAGGTTTTTCAACTTCATCCCTAATCACCTCATTCCCATCTTGAGGTTTTTCAATTTCATCCCCAATCACCTCATTCCCATCTTTAGGTATTTCATGTTCATTCTTATCTTTATCACTTCAGATTCGTTTCGATCTATTTTTTCTTCAACGTCACCTTCTTTTTGACTTTTATAATTGAATTCTTGTTCAAAGATTTCCTTCATTTCTTTCAACTCATCGCTTTCTTTGAACTTCATTGTTGAAAACTCAATTAACTTTCAAAACATCATTTTATCATTCACTAATTTTTTATAAATCTTTTTCACTTTAAAAACCAATTCTTAGAAAATGAGATAAAAAAGTTAAAACATCAATTATTCTCAATTTCAATGCTTCTCAATATATTTGGTATTCACTATGTGGATTTATTATATCAAAAATAATAAAAATACAAAAAGTGATGCACATTAGATATGCACTCTTTGAATTTGTATAAATTCAAAATGTGAATTTGAATTAATTCACAATGTGAATTTGAATAAATTGACAATGTGAATTTGCATGTCATTCGAAATTCAGTTCTGATTCACCATATTCACTTTGTGAATTTTATATAAATTCATGATGTGAATTTTGTATTTCATAGCAAATTCGGTTAAGATATGAACCACATAAAAGATTCACAATGTGAATTTGCATGTCATTCCAAATTTTAGTTAAAATTCACCATGTGATGCAGTTATAGTCATTTCTTTCATTATTTAAATACACATGGTGAATATTAACATATTTTGTATGCATATATTTCGAAGAATAAGAAGCTTTGAAAACCAGTTTGTAGAAATGCACAAAATTAATCTGTGAGATTATGAACAACATAAAAGATTCATAATGTTAATTCTAAAATTATAAAATGAAAATTTATTAAATATATAAATTATAAACTTACATCGAGTTTCATATATTCATTTCATCACTGTTGTATTTTTCATCAATCTCTATAATATCATCATTCTATTCCAAGGTTCCAAAGTCACAACTCTTTAACTCAGCTCTTTCCTTTTTCATCATCATTTTATAATCCCAAAAATGTATTGCATGTATTTGTGTTTTTTAATTCTTATCATTTCTAATAAACTCCAAATAAGCTAGTTGTTTTTATGTAAACAGAAAGATAACTAATTAATATTCTTATAATAATATAAATTCAAAAAAATTCTTTACAAGTAAAACAAGAAGTGGCCCACAATAGTAGTTTTCTCAATCTGTTTCATCCCATGTCATCTTTGACATTTTCAAGCAATTCGTTATAAATCAACACCAACCAATTTCTCTAATAGGTATTTTTCCTAACAAATTTGGCAGTACTATTGTTTTGTAAGTTTCATGTTTATTTTGTTCACACAACGTATTTACAAAGAGTATAAGAAAATTTGTTCTGAATATAATCCCTGAATCTATAGATTCTTTAATCCCCTCTTAAACATTTGATGGTCTCATAACCTTGTAGTTGTATTGTTGCTTCCAATCCATTAACTCTTTTCCTTCACATTGATCAGTGTCGTATATATCTTTTCCACCGAGAGGAATTCCGAGCAAATCATGAAAAAGAGCTGGTGTTATATCTATGTTTACTTGGGTTAGATGCATCTTCATATCTTTTGGATTAAATGAGTTAACATCAAATCGTGCCATTTTCCCAGTTATTCCATTAGGTGCAATTCTAAACAAAGATCCTAATCCCATATCTCTAACAACTTTTTTTGTTCTTTGTTTAAAGAGTTAACAATATCATAAAATTTCTTCGTGCTCATTCTTGTTCTCAAAGATACTTTTTCATTTGGATTTGTTGGAACTTTTGCCTTTCTTTTTCTTTGAATACTTCTAAAGTATCTTTTTGTTGGCCTATGTCTTTCATATCTATTTTTATTTTACTTGTTAGGTATTAATTTTTGTGTAACATCCATAAAATTCAAGCCAATTTAAAACTTTTTAAATCATTTAAAACCATTCAATCATTACAAGTTGTTTTCAAAATAGTTTAAACATCAGTGTTCCCAGAAATCATAATCATCAATCGAGGAAGTGTACGGTCACGCCTTCGCCTTCCCGCGGCCATCTGCTGAACCTGAAATAATAAACTGAAACTATTAGCCCGAAATGTTAGTGAGTTACCCCCAAAATACCCATACATAAAATAATACGCATATAATGATAAACAACATACTATGGGTCTAATCATCAATTGGGATGGAATACCCCAGGCCCTCAACCATCAGGTTGGAATACCAACACACAATACATATATAACTAATACTATGGGTCCAATAATCCATCAAGATGGAATACCCCGGTCCATCATCCATCGGGTTGGAATGCCAACATATTATGGGTCTAGCCAACCATCGGGTTGGAATACCCCAGGCCCTCGACCATCAGGTTAGAATGCCAACATAACCAGTCATACATGGGCACCTATATCAAATAATCATATGACAGTCTAAAATACAACATAATAGGGTCCTATCAACCTCATGATGGAATACCCTCAACTACCAATCAATCATGTGCACATATAGTAGGTAATTACATAACAATCTATAGACAAACAAACTAATCTAACAGATTGCAACATCATAACAACATCCTATCTACCAGGACACTGATATAACGGATCATAGCAACATACAACATCCTATCTACTAGGATACTGATATAACGAATCATAACAACATATAACATCCCATCTACCAGGATACTAATCTAATGGATCATAACACCATATAACATCTAATCTACCAAGATACCAATCTAACAGATCATAACAGCATATAACCATCCTATCTTCCAGGATACCGAGCTAACAGATCATGTCAATGATAATCCCAAATAACAAATCAAAGGGTCGAACTTGGTACCTTAGACCCTTGAGTTCAATGAGGATAACTCACATCACAATGCCGATCTGAGCTGAAGGATCGAACTCCCGAACCGCTGCCTTACCAACAATCTGAACTGTCCAAATAATAAATACCAAATCATTACACAACATAACAATCTTGACTAAGGGGGTCTACACAATCCATCATGTCCATTGTCTTTATCGGTCTAAGGCCCAATGCCAATACCATAACCTCGAAAGTCCTAATGTAAAGCCCATTATTGACCGAATTTACCAAATTAGGCCCAACCCCTAATTGGGCCTAATTCCAAGATCCATTATCAAGACTTGGCCCAAAACATAATATTCATAAAGTCCAACAAAAGCCCAAATCCAACTAGTCCATAAACAGCCCAAAACCCGAAGCCCAAATGCCAAAGGCCCAACAGAGGATGTATTCGGGTCGTACTCCTCTGGTACACGGGGCGTACTCATCAAATGTTGACCGCCGTCGGGGTGGTTGACCTAGTATGCTAGGCATACTATATTTACGATAGTCATATGTGGAGCTTCACCAAAATCCTAATAAGTACTTAATGGCTTAAGCACTTAAGCCCAAACTCTAGATCCATCGACCAAATGTTCCATAGGACTATAAAGTCTCGAACTTTACCACTTTGGACGTCCATAAAGTTCTTAACACATGGTCTTAATCCATTAAGACCTTCCCACTTCATGCATGAGACAAATCTAGCTATTTGGACACCATTTTTATCACTTAGGACCTCTACTAAGGTCTGAAAGGACAACTCATTTTGTCCAAAACATAACATGTACCATTTTGGGACTTTTGGGACAAGAATGCTTCCATAAAGCTAAAATGAATAGATATATCTTATACAAGTATAAAGTTCCAAGCATTTTACCTTCTGGAGATCCCAAAACAGATGAGGAACCAAGATCCATAAGCCAATCTTCCCTCCTTGGCTCCTTGATGCACAAGCCCCTTCTTGAAGGCACCAAAAACACACTTATAAGCTGAAGAATGGTCACTAGGAGGCTAGGGTTCTCTCAATACGGCTGAGGGAGGGTGTGGAGGCTGAAAGAGATAGGAGGGTATGGTCCATCAGGTGTTTAAATACTTCATAAACCCTAAAATTTAGGGTTTCATCCTGGCAAATGCACGCCCAACGTACTAGGGTGCGCCCTAGTACACATAGCATACAACATGTATGCCCGTCATACTACTTATGTTTCCAAACTTACCATTTTTCCACTAGGGCCTCCTTTTGCCACTTCCTTCTACATCAAGGGCCAAAATAATCTAATTAGAATCCGATGGGGAGGTGGAATTTGAACCTACTGAAAAAATGGGAGGTTACAACTCTCCCCTACTAAAATTCAATTCCATCCTCGAAATCATTCCTTACCATTCTCGGAAACCTGACATACTGAGGGGCACCTCATACCCATGACATACGATGATTTCCGAAGGAGACTAAATCCAATAGAAATCTTTCGTTCTAGAGAAGACGAATCCATAAAACCATGCAACACACAAACTTACTCTGCCTAAACCCGCAATTTGAAAACCTGAATTCGATCTGGCTCCCTGACAGAACACTCAGACTAATCATCGTTAGTTATCTTCCCAACACTACTAACAAACTAATCAACCCTAGAACCCTGAGGTTCCTACCTGAAAATAGAACCATGGACCATTTTTTGTTGACCCCCTGTGCCTACGACTTACCATCAGCCCACACCAGGTATCTTGGCCTACTGCATAGAGCAGGACCGCCTCAGCCCGATCACGCACAAGATGCTACTTAATAGACCATCTAGATAAGATGTCCACAAACTACCGATGATAATCTACCATGTTGCTCCTTTTCGTCCACCACATCCATAGAATACAGTCCCACAAGCGATTACCACCAACAACATACCTACCACTACCAGCTAACCAGACAAAATCCGGATGATCTAAAGTATCAGAAACCCAAATTTCCCTCATCCTGAAGTGAACTCCTTTGTGCTGAAAGGATAATGCGTCCTCCAACTCCCAAAATCTCATAGGTAATCAACCCATTAATAAACATGAACACTCATTCCTGGCCCAATCAGCCTTGGGCTGGAATACTAGGCATGCCTAAAATGGGTTCAATCATTCCTAGGATGGAATACCCTCATATCTCCACACATGTTTGGCCTAATCAACCCTCGGGTTGGAATACCACACATATCAGGTCCAATCAATCATAGGGTCCGATTATCCTCAAGATGGTATACCCTAAATTGGAATACCTCTACGAACATAACTCGGGTCTACTCATAACTTGAGATCTAAGGATCTATCCTTGCGTCTCATCCACCATCCTTTGATTCGTCACAGCCGAGTGCAACTCCCCCGAATCCCAATAATACATCCAATCCGAACGCACTCCTATGAGACATACCCCAACACAAATTCTATGCCCATAACCTCTAACTATAATACCCTTACACGGTCTTCAGTATAGGTCTGGATTGCCTCTAAGCCCACAACACGAATCTGGTATCCCCACTCCGGCCCTCAGCTCATGACTGGAATGCCGCCGATAAGCTATCAACACTGCTGTCGTCACTTCAGTTGCCCTAACGCTCCATCCTGGAGATTCTCACCTCCTCCATTTCCCTAAGAGTGTCTAATCAATATCCTTCACAACACCAACAAGCATTACAATACTAAAACCTCACCCCACACTATCCACTTGCAGAACAAGTTGCTATCCCATAATACATATAATGTGTCGCCATAGTTGATCTGGAGAAAAATCCAATTCAGTTCCAAGTACCTAAATAACAAGACATTCCAAGCCCAAGCCTTCCTAAAGCTAATAAATACCCATTTAGATCTACTCTCAGTCCCCAACTCGAGTACTACCCGATCCAAGAATACTAGTCGTTTGAAACACTACGTCTAATGAGACACCAAGATACTCAGTACTACATCCGATCTCTAATAACAACTTCTGATCCAACCAAAATACACCGGAATCTTCATCCTAGTCTATCAGCATGTTCAATACTTGGGGACAAACCTTCTGATTGCTATAGTATAGCAACATACTCAATATCCGAACATAGATCTACAGATAAATATAGACTCTTCAGCATGAATGCTCTCACCCACTTGGGGTTCGAAACTCTTGATCCATTCTGTGGACTCTAACCCCGACCTAACCCTAGGCCTCACGTTGATCGTCCACCCTCTCAGAAATCCGTGGTCTGTTCCCCAACCCGCGTGTCTACCACATATGCAAAATAACCCACACACCCATGTTGAAACTAGCCGAGCCCTGGCATCCAACAAAACCCTCAATCTATCAATCCAAAACCCTCATATTCGAGCATACCCTCGACCAAAAACTCGAAATGAACTCAATTCATGACTAGAACGCCAACATGTTTTCCCCAACTTTAGCTATCAACAACCGAGAAGACGTGATACACATGTTGGGGAGTTTTACCGAACTCTCAACTCACACAACCCTCAAACCAAACAGCTACTTGGGTTGTCTTCTTTCCTGAAAACGATGGGAAACTTATCCCATTTCAACACCACTCCTGCTTCTGTATCCCGGGATAATTCTCCCGCACTTAGATTCGACTAAGTGTTCACAATACATGAAAATTGGAGAATTCCCAATCTTTCTTACTTTCCTACGATCAATCAGATAACAACCAACTCTTCTAACTAGCGTCCCGTTACTAGCAAATCCCAATTGATCGGACACTCTAAGAACCAGATGAACACTTCCTGAATCCCAGTAAACCGACAGTCTGTAATGCTTGAATAATCCCATACTCAAATCTTGAAGAC